CTAAGTCCCAAGGTCGGCAGGGCAAGGCAGGCTGCTGAATAATGATATGGCTACATGCAGGGTCCAAGTGTGCTGTAGGCTAGAGACCATTCCCAAGGCTTCTCCTGATATATAGAGGAAGCATCCCAACAGCAGCTACTCAGCTGCTCATGGTAGATCCGACTGTGGAGTTGATTGCCAATCTCATCACATGGAATAACTACCACCAGCTGCCCAGCCACTCAACCAGGCCCAGCCAAGTTGACACACAAACATAACCACCATATCCATCTTAGTCTGGAAGCTCTGCTGAAACCTGGTTAGCCTCATGGGAAACCCTCAAGCCTCCACTGACAGACAGGTGATGGCTGCCCATGAGGGGCATTGGCTGGGAATCTAACCCAAGTCTCCTACAGGGAAGACGAGCTTCTATCATGGATCCGTCCAATTCCCACTTGTAAATCGTCCAGAAAACCTAATTAAAGCTTCTTGTAATGTATGAAACCTAGGTACCTTTCACACATTTTAGGAAGCTCAAGATTAAATTGTTAACTTAGGTGCTAATGATGTGTCACAGATAATAGCTGAGAGAGTAGAATTAGATTACAGTGCATCTGCTTGTATTGATGGGGGAAAATAATGTGGCAAAACATGATAGCACTCTTAAATCATAGAAAATACCAAGAAAGGAGGAAACATAGTCTCAAGACCTTGTAGAACAAATCTGTTTATCCCTGAAAACAAGATTCCCACTGTGTTTTCAGGGTCTCAGAAACTAGCAGTGATATTCTCCAGCATCTGCTGTGTGAGTTTCTATATCTTGTCTAATAAAAACGGAATTAACTAGTGTAAAAAACATGTTTCATTCTAGATTTGTAATGATAAGAGACAATTCTTGTAACATACAATTCTGGAAAGAGCACCTTCTCTGGAAAATATCATAAACAAGGTCTTTGTTTGTTCTTTCCTGTAATTGTGGTATTTCATTGCAGTTTCCCAAACTTCAGTTATAAAATTGACACTGTCTTTGTGGATGCATGCAAGTAATTAACAATTTCAAATCAATGACCTTCAAAACTCATCACTGCCATTTTATGATCTGCCCAGAGAAAAAGGAACTAGTTTCCTTTCTGATGAGCACTGGAGAGTGCTCAAAAGATGTATATCTTTTAAAGGATAGTTCCTTGGTATATCAAAAGAGAATGGTGCATAGCCAAGCTCAGAGTGATGCCCCAATGATGAAAAAGAACAAACAGAAAGAATAGCCCTGACATTTGGACCCTGGCCTGACACTAACAGCTAAGCCATGCTATTCTCTTATTAAATTATAAACAGTCTCATAGAATAGCATCCTCAGACAGGGATATTTTGAGATCATGATAAAATGAGACCAAGAAAGTCCATTTCAAATTTTTCTAAGCACAGACACCTCCTTCTTGCTAAATGACTGACTACTACTTCTTTACTCAATCACAGAATTGCCCCCACTTTCTGACAACATCTAATCTAGAAAAAACCTCTACTTCTTTATTAACCTAACCAAACCCACTGCCATCAAGTCAATTCTGACTCATAGTTACTGTATAGAACAGAGTAAAACTGCCCCATAGGGTTTCCAAAGCTGTAAATTTTTATGGAAGCAGACTGCTTCATCTTTCTCCTGTGGAGTGGCTGGTGGATTTGAACTGCTGACCTTTTGGTTAGCAGTCAAATGCTTTAACCACTGCACCACAACAGCTCCCTCACTTCCTTACACTTTCTGCAAATCACCCAACCAAAGCTCAAATCCTGCAATAGTTTCTTTCTAACCTTTCTGAGTCTCCAATGGTTCCTAATGGTAAGATTCTCCCTTGCTGCAATGACTAATAAACTCAATTTGTTCAACTACGTGGGAGCTCTGGTAGCATAGTGCCTAAGGCACTTGACTGCTAACCAGAAGGCTGGCGGTTCAAACTCCCCAGCCACTCCTCGGAAGGAAGATGGGGCAAGCTACTTCCATAGTGATACTGCCTCAGAAACCCAAGGGAGGGGTCGCTATGAGTCGGGTCCAACTCGACAGCATAGAACAACAACAACGACAACATGTGTGCTCCTAGTGGTCTTTGACTGAAGGGCATTGACAATACTATGGGAATACAAACCAATTCTATGCATGATTTTTTTTAATCTTTGAGAGTGCTAATTTTTAATGATATAATATGTTGTTGTTGTTGTTGTGTGCCGTCAAGTAGTATAATATAGATCTTAAAAATCATTTCAGATTTCAGAAGGATGTTCATGAAAGAAGCACAGTGCAAGCAAGTGAAACCTAATTGGTGAATTGCTGAGAGGACAGAGGAGGGAAAGGGAAGAGAGTAAGATTGGTTGATTAGTTTTCTCCTGGGATTCTTAGAAGGTGCCTACTCTAAGTGACTTTGGAAGGGTGGGATGGGAGATGGTGCAGGGGTACCTGGTCTCTAACCTAACCTTGAAAGACAAAGGGCACTTCAGCAGCTCTTTCCTTTGTGCGAGCTGCTATACATAGTATTCCATTTTCACACTGATCTTGCAAAATGAGTATTACCACCATGACCATGATGTTCTGACTTGAAAGATCAGGAAATCAGAACCTGAAACTAGGTTTACACACATATCCAATACATACACTGAAACAACAGATAGCATTAGTACCCATGAGGCTCCAGAATTCATGGCCAAGACATTACATCATATGGGCTCTAGATATTTGCATACCAGATGGAAAAGAAACTTTTTAAAAATGAAGAGATTAACCAGAAAAGAAAATTGAGACTGGATTAAAAATATACATATCTTGCTTTAAAATTATAAAATGCAGCAATTTAACTATGGCTAAATTCCATTTTATTATTTCCTCACAACCAATGAGTTTCTTTGCCTTTAAAAAAATCAGTTAAAATTTCAAACATAATATAAAACAAACATTTCAGTTTCTAAATTTAATACTGCTACATTGAACAAATTTTATTGTGGCATAAAATAATTTTGAATCTGGTTCTTTTAGCAGTTTTTTTTTAACTGCATGCATATATCTACTCCAACTCTTGACTTGTTTTTAAACTTTATTTTTAGCATCTTTTGTTAGACATTATTGTTTTTTAATTTTACTATTCACAAATTTTCAAAATTTTCTTTATGATTTTTCTTTTTGTGCCTTTCATTAGAAATCTTTTATTTTTCTCATATTTATAAAAGTATTTCCTTATACTTTTAGAATTAAAAGTTTTTAAGTTTTGCTTTTCCTATGTACTTCTTTAACTTGGATTGTTCTCAGGAGAAACTTGTACATAGACCAATAGGCTGTCATTGGAACAGAACAAGGGGATATTGCATGGTTTAAAATCAGGAAGAATGTGCGTCAGGGTTGTATCCTTTCACCATACATAATCAGTCTGTATGCTGAGCGAATAATCTGAGAAGCTGGACTATATGAAGAAGAACATGGCATCAGGACTGGAGGATAACTCATTAACAACCTGCGATATGCAGATGACACAACCTTGCTTGCTGCAAGTGAAGATGACTGGAAGTACTTACTGATGAAGAGTAAAGACTACAGTCTTCAGTATGGATTCCACCTCAACATAAAGAAAACAAAAATCCTCACAACTGGAACAATAAGCAACATCAGGGAGGAGCTCTGGTAGCATAGTGGCTAAAGCACTTGACTGCTAACCAGAAGGCTGGCGGTTCAAACCCACCAGCCACTCCTCGGAAGGAAGGTTGGGCAATCCTACTTCCGTAGTGATACTGCCTCGAAAACCCAAGGAAGGTTCGCTATGAGTCGGGACCGACTCGACAGCACATAACAACAACAACAACAACAAGCAACATCATGCTAAACAGAAAAGATTAAAGTTGTCAGTGATTTCATTTTACTTGGATCCATAGTTAACACTCATAGAAGGAGCAGTCAGGAAATCAGACATCATACTGCAATGGGAAAATCTGCTGCAAAAGACCTCCTTAGAGTGTTAAGAAGCAAAGATTTCACTTTGAAGACAAATGTGCTTCTGCCCCAAGCCATGGTATTTCTAATCGCCTCATATGCAGATGAAAGATGGACAATGAATAAGGAAAATTGAAGAAGAGTTGATGCCTTTGAATTGTGGTGTTGGCAAAGAATACTGAAAATATCCTGGAGTTCCAGAAGGCTTGAACAAATTTGTTCTGAAAGAAGTACAGTTGGGGTGCTCCTTGAAAGTGAGAATGGCCAGACTTCATCTTACCTGTTTTGCTCATGTTGTCAGAAGAGACTGGTCCCTGGAGAAGGATATCATGCTTGTAAAGTAGAAGGTCAGTGAAGAAGGGGAAGACCCTCAACGAGATGGACTGACACAGTGGCTGCAATGATGGGCTCAAGCATTGCAAGGATTGTGAGGATGGCTCAGGACCGGGCAGTGTTTCATTCTGTTGTACACAGGGTGGCTATGAGTTGGAGCCAACTCCATGGCACCTAGCAACAACAACAGCAACAGTATACTTGGAATTGATCTGTGTGTATAATGTGTGGTAGGGATCTAAAAGAACAGATAGATTTTTAGCATTATTTATTGAATAGTTCATTATTCCCTCATTGATTTGTGATGTCACCTTTGTGATAAATTACTAATGGCCAAGTTTTGTCACTTGCCAAATGTAAGAGAAAAGCAGTGAATGTCTTAGTTTTATAGGTTCAATGTGTAGATATTAAATAAAGTTATTAATTTTAATTTTTGACACTTCTATATGTCTGACTCATAGCGATCCCTCCTTGGGTTTCTGAGGCGGTATCACTATGGAAGTAGATTGCCCAACCTTCCTTCCAAGGAGTGGCCAGCAGTTTTGAACTGCCAGCCTTCTGGTTAGCAGTCAAATGCCTTAGGCACTATGCCACCAGAGTAATTAACCAATTAGAAATCCACTTTTGTGTGAGCTGGATTAGACAAATTGTTCTTACATTTGGATAATTTGAATAAAGAAGAGAGAAAAAGTAATAATTGCAATGATCTTTTCTTTTATAGGGTGGTTGGCTACAGATTACAATTACTATGTCTGACTCAGTAATTCTCCGCAGTGTGAAGAAATTTGGAGAGGAGAATCATGCTTTTGTGTCAGATGGATCATGTAAGTGGTCCTTTTCTCTAACTATCTCTTATACAAAGAGGAGAACAAAAGTAGGATGAGCTAGAAAAGTTTCAAGTTTCAAGCAACAATATGGATGTGATTCTTACCTACAGCAGTGTTACTCTTCCTAGAATTCATGTAACACAATGCCTGGAAGTACTAGGTAAGAATGCATAAGGGTAGATGAGTGAAAACTGAGTTGAGGCCTATATACATCTCTTTCCTGTGTGGAGTAGGGTTATTCCAGCATTAGCTAGTAGCATTAACTTTAGTTATAGATGTGATTATTGATCATAGTGACAACAATCATTTATGAGTCATAGCTCCAAGAGGAACTATACCAAGGCTCTGCTGCTTGGAATGAGATAACATGGAAGAGGGCCCATGACACTTGTACTTGACACGTAGTGAGCATGGATGGTTCTAAATTCTTACTATTTTTTTAACCTATGATTTTATAGGACACTCTGGTTTTATATTTTACAGGTGAAGAAACTGAGACTTAGATATATTAAAAAACTTAACAAGGCCAAGGTCACATGACTAATAATGAAGCCATAATTCTAATCCAGTCTGTCTGAGTCCCAAGCTCAAGATAATAACCTCTATCTGCTCTATAAAAAATCAATGGTTATTGAGTGGGTTCTGACCTCTGGTGACCCCATGTGTGTCAGAGTAGAACTGTGCTCTATAAGGTTTTCAATGACTTAATTTTGGAATCAGATCACCGGGCCTTTCTTCCAAGACACCTCTTAGTGGACTTAAACTGCTAATCTTTTTGTTAGCAGCCAATTCTACTAACCATTTGTAGCAACCAGTGACTTCATCTGCACCATAATGCCTCTATACTCTTACCCCACATGGCAAATTAAAATGCCAGGGGAACTAGGAAGAGTTGCCCATGGTGATGGATGATTAAGCATCTGAGTGGTCTTTTCCCTATATCTTCCTTATACCTATGACCCTGAACCCCCATTTCCATCTCCTACCTCTACATCTGCTCTAAACTGCATTGTTGTTGTTGTTTGCCGTCGAGTTGGCCCCGACTCATAGTGACCCCTCCTTGGGTTTCCGAGGCAGTATCACTACGGAAGTAGGATTGCCCAACCTTCCTTCCGAGGAGTGCTGGTGGGTTTGAACCTCCAGCCTTCTGGTGAGCAGTCAAGTGCCTTAGGCACTATGCTACCAGAGCTCCTAAACTGCATTGAGAATAATAATATTTGACTAAGTTCTGTGGTTTCTACTGGTATGGAAGTGTCAATAAGATAATTTGTCCTGTTGTTGTTATGTGCCGTCGAGTCAGACCTGACTCATAGCGACCTCTCCTTGGGTTTCCGAGGCAGTATCACTACGGAGGTAGATTGCCCCATCTTCCTTCCGAGGAGTGACTAGTGATCTATATTTTAAGTAGACAAATACTGATGTTGCTAAAGAACAAAACAATAAATATTTGTTTTATGTTGTAGTTCAGAAAATCAGGTTTCTTTAGCTAAGTTGAAAATATTAGCCTCCATTTGATATTTAGAAGGTACAAATATTTCATGTGCTGAGCAAAATCCAGAAATGTAGTTGAGGCAGCAGTCCTGAAACTTACAGAATATCTCCTGTAATATGCAGAAAGAGAGAGAAACACCAAGAGAAGAGAAAAAGCAAATAGTCATTTTGCAGTATCCCATGAATAAACAATACTATTAATTACTATATTGTATTTGTTATTATTAACTGCTTTATGCATTGTTTCTATTCTGACAGATAACAACGATAAGAAATCAAGGTAAGTGACTGAGTATTTCAATAATGTAGTATCTTTTTTAGAATAACTGCATAATATTCTTATAAAAAGACACAGAGCAAGGACAGTATTTTTATGCACATTGCACATCCTACAGAATTGTAAATAAAATCTCATATAATCTACACTTTTCCTCTTTAATACATGACTATCCACCAGCCACTCCTCGGAAGGAAGGTTGGGCAATCCTACTTCCGTAGTGATACTGCCTCGGAAACCCAAGGAGGGGTCGCTATGAGTCGGGCCGACTCCACGGCACATAACAACAACAACAACAACATAGTTAGATTACAAAAGCCTTTTGGCATATTCCTTCTGCATTAGCTCCAAATTTCCCCTATGCATTTAGGAACACAACAGAGTGCCTAAGGCATTTGATTGCTAACCAGAAGTTTGGTAGTTCAAATCCACCAGCTGCACTGAGGAAGGAAGATGAGGCCATATACTTCTGTAAAGATTTACCACCCTGAAAACCCAATGGGGGTCACTATGAGTCAGAATTGACTTGATGTCAGTGGGTTAGTTGTACAGAAGGGAAGTGAATTATAAAGTATGATTTCATGGGCGCAGAACCCTAAGTTCTTCGTACAGGCAAATAGTAGAAACTTTAAATTTAATTATTAGATATTTCTCTTTTGTTTAAGAATTTAATTCAGAATTAAAACAAACAAATGTCAGTTAATTACACTTTGGTGTACAGGCAGAATTAAATGGAATCTAATTTAGAATAGGAGCTCTGGTGGCGTAGTGCCTAAGGCATTTGACTGCTAACCACAAGGCTGGCAGTTCAAACCCACCAGCCATTCCTTGGAAGGAGGGTTGGGCAATCTACTTCTGTAGAGATACTGCCTCAGAAACCCAAGGAGGGGTTGCTAAGAACTGGATCTGACTCAATGGCAGTGAGTTTATTTATTTATTTTTGTTTTAATTTAGAACAGATATCAGGCAAGTTCTGCACATGGAAGTGGAGGGAAGGGAGGAGTTGAAGGCATTTAAGAAATTGTAATAATTCATGGAAGAGGGAGGAGATAGGTGTGGTGAGGTTAACTTTGTACTAGGTGTGGTAGGGTCAGCCTGGGGCTGGGCGGAAAGAGATGAAAATGGGTGTGGATACAGAGGAATGGCAATGAGAGGATCAGCAGGAAGTTGAGTGAGTTCTTTTTTTCTCAGAGGAGATGAATCTATTTCCTGATAGACGCAGTAACTTAGAATGAGAGAACCATTGTGCAAGTTTGACAAAGCTGCTAAGGGAAATGGGAGGGATCAGTAGAGTAATAAAGTATGTGCAGAGCCAAGCTGAGGTTAGAGACCATTCATTCATTCATGCATTTATTTATTCATTCCGTTCATAAATGTTAATTGAATGCCTGTTGTTGTTGTTGTTATGTGCCGTCGAGTCAGCCCTGACTCATAGCGACCCCTCCTTGGGTTTCCGAGGCAGTATCACTACGGAAGTAGGATTGCCCAACCTTCCTTCCGAGGAGTGGCTGGTGGGTTTGAACCGCCAGCCGTCTGGTTAGCAGGCAAGTGTCTTAGCCACTATGCTACCAGAGCTCCCAATTGAATGCCTACTAGGCGCCAAACACTATTATAGGTGCTGAGAACATGGAAGAGAATAAAACCAAACCCACTGCCATTGAGTTGATTCCAATTCATAATGACCCCCAATGGGTTTCCAAGGCAGTAAATCTTTATGGAAGTAGATTGTCCCATCTTTCCTCGGAGTGGCTGGTAGGTTTAGATTACCAACCTGCAAGTGAGCAGTCAAACGACTTAGGCACTGTGCCACCAGAGCTCCTTAGCAGAGAACAAAGTAGGCAAAAATTTTTATCCTTGAGGAGCTTACATTTTAGTAAGGGAGATGTAATAAGTACCATAAGCAAATAAAGTACAAGTATTGTTATGTGCCGTTGAGTCATCTCCAACTCATAGCAACCCTATGCACAACAGAATGAAACACCGTCTGTCCTGTGCCAGCTTCACGATCCTTACTATATCTGAGCCCATTGCTGCAGCTACCATGTCAATTCATTTTGTTGAGGGCCTTTTCCTATTTTGCTGACCCTCCACTTTACTAAGCATGACATCCTTCTCCAGAGAATGGTCCCTTCTGAAAACATGACCAAATTAGGTGAGACGAAGTCTAGCCATTCTTGCTTCCAAGGAGCATTCCAACTGCACTTTTTCCAGGACAGATTTGTAAGTTCTTTTAGAAGTCTACTGTACTTTCAGCATTCTTTGCCAACACTACAACTCAAAAGCATCAACTCTTCTTTGGTCTTCCTTATTCATTGTCCAGCTCTCACATGCATATGAGGTAATTAAAAATACCATGGCTTGGCTTAGGGGCATCTTATTCTTCAAGGAGGAGCTCTGATGGTGTAGTGCCTAAGGCATTTGACTACTAACCAAAAGGCTGGAGGTTCAAACCCACCAGCTGCTACTTGGAAGGAAGATTGAGTGATTTACTTCCATAGTGATAACTCCTTGGAAATCCAAGGAGGAGTCACTATGAGTTGGATCTGACTTGACTGCAGTGAGTTTGGTTTTGGTTTTTGGTAGTCTTCAAGGAGATTTCTTTGCTCTTCAGCACTTGAAAGAAGTTGAAAGTACACTGTGTGTGTGTGTGTGTGTGTGTGTATGTATGTATGTATGTAGGAGCTCTGGTGGTGTAGTCCCTAAGGCATTTGACTACTAACCAGAAGCTGGTGGTTCAAACCCACCAGCCAATCCTTGGAAAGAAGACTGGACATTCTACTTCCATAGAGATACCGCCTCGGAAACCCAAGGAAATGTCGTTGTGAGTTGGAACTGACTCCATGGCAGTGAGTTTGGTTTTTTTGGTATATATATAGTTAAGCACTCAGCCGCTAACTCATGTAATGGGGGAAAAGAGACCCCAGATGCAAACAGGTTCAATAGAGATACTTTTTTAAGTCTTGGACAGGACAAAGAAAAAATGAAGGTAATCAAAAAAAGCTGAATGGAGTGTGCTGAGTCATAGTCATGGGGCTCATGACGTATGACTGAAAACAAAGAGAATCATCACAAAATCATGATTGGTGGCAGTTGATTCATCACTGCTGCCGGTGGGACTACAGAAGCAGGGAAAGGACCATGATTGGGAAGTGTACCAGATTAAAGATGAAAAAGGGTTACACATTGGTTCTGGAGCTTGACTACCTGGCTGGGTGGTGGTCCGGATATGACTCATGACCCTGTGGCCTGAATCAAAGCCACAAGGTGACTACAAAACAATTCCAGGACCCCAACCTTAATTTAAATTGGAAAAGGACACACTCAGGCAAGTTCCCTAGTTCTTTGTGTGAGCATAATCTGCTTTCAACCACACTCTTCCTGCATGAAAACTGTCCCTCTCTTGGTTTGTCTTGGAGCTTGTCTATGCATAGTCACAATGTTGAAGGTCAGAAAGAACTCAACTGGCATTTGAACTTATGTCAAGATTCAAAATGGAGTTAGGGCTCCCACTGTAGCCACAGCCTTCTACAAACCCAAGTGCTTTAGAATTTAAGCTCTGATACATCTGTGGTCATAATGTCAATTCTGACTCATAGAAACCCTATAGGACAGAGTAGAACTGCCTCATAGGGTTTCCAAGGCTATAAATTTTTACAGAAGCAGACTGCCACATCTTTCTCCTGTGCAGCGGCTGGTGGGTTTAAACCACAGATCATTTGGCATATATGAGGTGGATGAACATATTCCTCCCAGACTGGCTTATATATCATATATATTAGCCTCATGGCTGTGAGTCAGCAGACTCCATTTGGCATCTGTCCTAGATGATTGTCTTTGTCTCATTTAAGGCTTAGTAAAAGGGTCTCTATAGAACATGTTTGAATCTGGAGTCTTTTTTCCTTTAGTACAGGAGAGGGAATAAACCAAACCCAACCCACAGCCATCTAATTGATTCCAACTCACAGTGATCTGCCTTGGGTTTCTGAGGTGGTAAATCTTTGCAGAAGTAGATCACCTCATCTTCCTTCTGTGGAGAGGCTGATGGGTTTGAACCACCAAACATTGGTTAGCAGTCAAATGCTTTAGATACTATGCCACTGGAGAAAGGAAGTAACTAATGCAAAAACCCTAAGATGGGAACAAATTTGATGTAGACAAAGATCAGCAAAGAGGCCAGGTGAGTGGAATGGTGAGAATAAGGAGCAGAGTAATCGGATATGAGGTCAGAGAGCTAACTGGGCTTGACCAAGGAAGCCCTGGGACATTTTAGTGAGAATTCTTCTTCAAGTTCAAGGGAGGAAATTAGAGAATTTAGTGACAGACATGATATATTATGGCGTCAGTTTACATGGTGGTGAAGTTCTCTCCAGCAGGCTCAGCAGCCCAGCTAGAGGAGGAGAGGGACAAACAGCTGGATGAATGCAGAGCTGGGGTTTCCATGGATGGATATAGGGAAAGGGATTGAGGATAATGGTGAGAGTGTAGGCCAAATGCTGAGCAGTGGGGCATGGAATGGATGAGGAAGGAAGAAAAATCTTGGTGGGATTGTAAATCAATGAAGGGTTGAAGGGTCTACAGGTCTCAGTTGAGGCAAACAGCTGAGGAAGAAGGAAAGAAGAAAACAAAATGCATGGATAATCAGAGTGTCAGCAGATTTCCTGGTGATGGTAGGTCCAGGGTGTTCCGTAGAGTGGCTGACTCAAGTGAATTAGAGCTCCCTGGAGTTGAGCAGGTCAAGGAAGGGTTAAACAAGACCTTCTGAGAAACAGAATGAATAAGAAATACTAAAGAAATATGATTTTATGAAAATTATGAGGGTTTTATTCAAATTTTCATCATATCAAGATTATTTATTGTAGTTATAAAATTTTTACATGCTACAGGGAAGCTTCAAATCAGCTAACCCAACCATCTCAACTTACCCACAAGAAAATATAGGGAAAAATAGATTGAAAGTCTTGGTTGAGGCCAAATAGATATTTGTCAGTAGAACTGGAGATATAGAGAATTCTTCATTTTCTCAGAAAAGGCTCACTAAAACTTTCCTAAGCATGAGGTACAGCTCTATGGTAATCTCTGTTTTTTTGCTGCTATTCAGTCAGCCCCTGACTCATGCACAATGGAACAAAATGATGCTCAGCCATGTGCCATTCCCATGATTGGTTGTGGATCTGACTGCTGTAAACTGTAGGGTTTTCATTATTTCAGAAGTGGATCACAAGGCCTTTCTTCCTAGACTGGCCTAGTCTTGGAGTTCTGCTGAAATCTACTTAGCATTATAGCAACATGCCAACCTTCACTTAGGTGGTGGCTGTGCATGAGGCACATTGGCCGGGGAACAAACCTGGGTCTCCTGAATAGAAGGCAAGAATTCTATCACTGAATCAGCACTTTCCCACTGAAATCTCTTCTTATTGTTGTTAGGTGCCATCAAGTAGGTTCTGATTCATAGTGACCTTATGTACAACAGAATGAAACACTGTCCAGTCCTGCTTCATCCTACCAATCATTGCTATGTTTGAGTCCACTGTTGTAGCCACTGTGTCAAACCATCTCATGAAGGGTCTTCCTCTTTTTTGTTGACACTGTACTTTACTAAGCATGATATCCTTCACCGGGGACTTGTCCCTCCTGATAACATGACCAAGTACAAGAGACAAAGTCTCACCATCCTCACTTCTAAGGAGCATTCTTCTTCCAAGATAGATTTGTTCATTCTTCTGGTTGCCCATGGTATATTCCATGGAAAATAGCATGGCTTGGGTCAGGCATACTCAAAGTGACATCATTTTTTTTTTTTTTTTAACACTTTAAAAAGGTCTCTGCCCCAGATTGTTGATCTAAGTAAAATGAAATTCTTGGCAACTTCAATCTTTTCTCTGTTTATCACGGTGTTGTTTATTGGCCTAATTGTGAGGATTTTTGTTTTCTTTATGTTGACGTGTAATCCATACCGAAATCTTTGATCTTCATTATTATTGTTTCAAGTCGTCTTTACTTTCAACCAGGTTGTGTCATCTGCCTATCATAGGTTGTTAATGAGTTTTCCTTTAATCCTGATGCCGTGTTCTTCTTCATATAATCTAGCTTCTGAGATTATCTGCTCAGCATATAGATTGAATAAATATGGTAAAAGAATACAACCCTGACATGCACTTTCCTGACTTTAAACCATACAGTATCTTCTTGTTCTGTTTGAATGACTGCCTCTTTGTCAATTTACAGTTTCCACATGAGCACAACTGAGTGTTCTGGAATTCTCATTTTTGCAATGCTATCCATAATTTGTATCATCAACATAGTATAATGACTTTGCTGTTGTCGTTGTTAGGTGCCTTTGCTAGAAGAGGTCAATTTATAAGGGTAAAAGCTTGTTTTTAAGATATCTGGCTTGGAAAGAATTCCTCAGCCAGTGGAAGCTTTCTTTACTAAAGAATGACTCATAAAATCACCACCTAAGGAGAACCCATTGTTTTGGAAAGAACAATCTTTAAATCCCTATTTTTCTCCTCAGGTTACAAGATCAGAAGAAAGGTGACAGCAATCAAGTTGGCTTCTTTCATTTGGTAATAAAACTGCCCTGGGCATGCTGCACTGTAGGCCACGAAGGTGCTGATTTATGACATTGATTTTGCAACTGTGTCTTGTTCATGAAGGAAGTGTTAAATCTTTAGTCATATTGGCTTGTGTGATTATTTTTTTTAGTCATAATCTTTGTCCATGTGATAACATACTGAATAATGATTAGAACTATGTTGCTGATGAGTCATAAAAATCCTACATGGTAGATCAGAAAAGTGTCTTGGAAAACAATTGATAAGCCCAAAATGATCATTTTAATGAGAGTTGCACAACAGTAATCATGTTATGTATTGACACAGTCACTGCAACCATGGGTTCAAGCATAACAAAAACTGTGATGATGGGGCAAGACTAGGCAGTGTTTCATTATGTTGTACGTAGGGTTGATATGAGTTGAAATCAAACAATGACACCTAAAACAACAACAATTATGTCATGTAGATTTATTCTTATAAGTTTTTAGAAATTCCATAGTATAGGTATTTCCCTTGAATTTGCAGAAGGTTGAGATATTTAGGCATACATAGGCACTCTTCATTGCCAATATCAGTTCTGTGAGCCCAACCTATGCTATTGTTGAATTCTCCATACAACATATCCACTTGGTGGTAGCATCATGACAGTGATTATTTTCCACTTAAATTGTGAATGAAGATTAAATTTAGCTCATGAGGTAAAAGAATTAATGCAAAGACTAAATTATAAATAGCATGAACTAATAATGAGGGGGCCCCAGGGTGGTGTAATAGTTAATGATCTTGGCTGCTAATTGAAAGCTGGAGATTAGAATCCACCCAAAGATGCCTCAGAAGAAAAGCCTGGTAATCTACTTCCAAAAAGTAAGGCACTGAGAAACATTTGAAGCAGAGTTCTACTCTGATACACATGGGATCACCATGAGTTGGAATAGATTCTAATGGCAACTGGTTTTGGTAATATGATAGTTTAATGCTTTAAATAATTGATGTACAATTAATTTCTATCAAATTAGTGTGAATTCTACTGTTCAATCAAGATGATTCCCATAATGGTGTTGTATACTATTTATCAGACTCTAGTAATTAAAATTAAATAGTCCTCCTACCTCTCCTGCTTTTCACCCATAGATGATCTTTGAACTCTTTGTTTTTCAAGTTTCGGTTTTCTTCATCGACTGACATTTGCCTGATGTTTGTGGGAACTTTATGTGCATTTCTCCATGGAATTAGCCAGCCAATCATGATACTCATTTTTGGCACAATGACAGATGTTTTTATTGAATATGACAACGAATTACAAGAACTCAAGATCCCTGGAAAAGAATGTGTAAATAACACCATAGTATGGACTAACAGCTCCCTCAATCAGAACATGACAAATGGAACACGTTGTGGGTAAGCTGCTGTTTTTTATTTTTTACTTCTTCACTCATATCTTAAAATATCATTGAAAATGTATAAAAGGGACTTTAATGGTTGCACTGGAGTGGTATTTAACACAGAATAAACAGAAGCATAAATTAACTCATATTTCTACAAATTTCTGTTCCCTAAGGTTCTTTCCCTCCTACTGGTTTTTCTAGTCTTGATAACAGGATAGCAAATTATTCATTAAATAAATATATCACTTGAATTTAATCACTTTGCTGAACAGAGACTTGAGCATGACACTACCAATTGTTTACCCATCTAGGAAAGTATGATGGTTAAGGTTTTGTGTCAATTTGGCTAGGCTATGATTCTCAGTGGTTTGGTAGTTATATACTGGCGTAGTTTGGCAGTTATGGAATGATATAATTTGGCAGTTATGAAATGATGTAGTTATCCTCCATTTTGTGATACAATGTAATCACATCCATGATGTGATCTGATATGATCAGCCAATAAATTGTAAGGGGAGTGTGCTCAAGGATGTAGCCTGCATCCAATATATATGGACTTTCTGGCAAAGATTGCTGCCTTTTGCTCACTTTGGATCCTGCATCCAGCTTGTCATCATCTGACCTTTGGTTCTTGGGATTTGTACCAGTGGCTTGTCATATTGCCTGCTGATCTTGGATTCATCAGCCTCCATAGCCCGTGAGCCAGCAGCCTACCCATGAGCCAGCAGCCTGCTGTCTGATCTGCCGATCTTGGGTTTGTCAACCCCTATAGCTCTGTGAGTTGAGATAAGCCTCCAGTCTGATGCCTGACCCACAAACTTAGGACTTGCCAGCCTCTAAAACTGCATGAGCCATTTCCTTGAGATCAATCTATCTATCTATCTATATAAACATATATATGCTTTGCTGGTTTTTCTTCTTTAGAACACACAGCCTAAGACAGGAATTTTACTTGAGCCCTCATCATGTCTCATGATATTATGAATTCCTTTCTTCTTTTTGCTAACTCTTTTTGCCCCTTAGCTTCTGTGGCTGTGGCTGATAATCCACTTGACACAAAGCCTTCTCTCTATAACGGGAATTTCGTAAGTATGCTACATGACTTGTGAAGGAACTCTGGTGGTGCAATGGCTAAGTGTTCAGCTCCTAACCAAAAGGTCAGTGCTTGGAACCCACAAGCTGCTCAGTGGGAGAAAAGACCTGGATCTGCTTCTGTAAAGATTACAGCCAAGAAATCCTATGAGGAGGTTCTACTTTGTCATATAGGGTTGTTATGAGTTGGAATCAACTTGATGGTACACAACAACAATAACATCACTTGGAATAAGGGCCTTGGTCAGTAGTTCAGTTTCCATGGGAGAGTGGTGTGGTGCTGTAGCAAAAGGTAGCCTTGAAGAAACAGCCAGACTCAAATGGACTAAAATTTACTCAAATGGACACACTCTCTGTACTATTGTTATCTTTGTGATAAGCCTGACAGGCCACCTTGTAATCACTGAGTCTAGGGTACATAGACCTGACTCACTATGATAGCATGGACTTTGTAACCTGCCTCACACTGCCTCAGGGGTGGAACAAGCTCATTTGCACGTACCAACTCACATACTCAGGTTCCAGAACCGAGGGCATATCTTGACTAGGAAGATTGGAATGGCTCTCCCAAATGAATTTATATTTTTTTTACCTTCATTTCTGAAATTTGCTAGAGGCTTGACTTCGGACTATGAACAGTCTTTCTGAGTCACTGATGCTCATACATAATACTGTTTACATTTAGTGTCATTAACTTACTCAACCAAAATCTTTTGGACACCAACTATGTGCCAGGAACTTGTGTAAGTGTCTAAGATACAGTGGTTATCTTCAGAGTGTGCTGCTTACCTTTGAGAAGCTTAGATCTAGTTGATGGGACCATCAATAAATCAATGATCACTCATATAGGTATGTAGTTACAAACTAGCAAGTGCTTGAAGGAAAAGTGCAGGATAACACACCAAGTGCAGAATTATATTTTTAAAATGAACAAGCCTACTCATTAGAAATATATTTCCTAATGTCTAAATTCACCTGTTTCTTTTCTAAATTTGGAATTTTCTTTTCATCTGAAAGACTCATAGAACAGTCTTTAAATCTTTCATCTACGTTGGAAGACAGAAATGAATAGGTTTTTGCAGACTGATATGACCTAAAATATAATCACTTCCCACTTTGGGAAAAATGCACTTAGAATTGTGTATGATGTAATTTGACCCAAGCCATTAATAACACTCATGAAGATAAACTTTTCAAGGGAGAAATCCTGTAAGTATATCTCGTTATACTTGAATATTTAGAAATAAATGTTAGAGAGGTCAAAATCTGAGGTATACTCATGATACCAGACACTCTTAAATATTTTTAGATGAATTAAAGAATGACTCTACAATTAATGTTTGCATTATTCATTCAAAAGGAAGGAATTCACTGTGGTTAGTCATCACTTAAGGGCAGTTTTAGTTCAGTGGTAGAGTTCTCACCTTTCGTATGGGAAACCTGGGTGTGATTCCTGCCGATGCACCTCATGTGCGGCTACCACCTGTCTGTCAGTGGAGACTTGTGTGTTCTGTGGTGTTAAACCAGTTTCAGCAGAGCTTCCAGACTAAGATGAGCCAATCCCATAGGGTCACCATGAGTCAGGAATGACTCGAGGGCAGCTAACAACTAACAACAACAACAACAACTCATTACTCACACTCTATTCATTCTTACAGGAGCTCTGGTGGCGTAGTGCCTAAAGCATTTGACTGCTAACCAGAAGACTGGCAGTTCAAACCCACCAGCCACTCCTTAGAAGGAAGGTTGGGCAATCTACTTTTATAATGATACCACCTTGGAAACCCAAGGAGGAGTCGCTGTGAGTCGGATCCGACTCAATGGCAGTGAGTTTGGTTTAATTTGGTTTATTCATTCTTACCAGGTCATTTAATTGAAGGTGAACAAATTGTGCAAACCAGAAGCTTTCAGGAGTCTGCTGAGTTTGGGTAAATTTAAATGATACCAAATATGTAGCATGGACATTTGTCCACTTTTTTTTTATTGTGTATGGATAATTGTGTAAATTCTACCTTTTCTATGCCATACCTTTACCAGGAACTCCTTTAACAAGTCAAATACTTTAATTTTGAGTTATTATGGCCACTGACATGAATACGATTTGTTGTACTTCTCAATAGCATATTTGCTTAGCTTTTATGTAATCAACTACTGTGAAAATAGACTTGGGTGGGACAGAGGAAAAGGGAGAGGACATGTAAGTGGTTAATATTCTTCCAAAGTTACCCAACTATTTCACAAGTTTCTTCCTTGGGAAAAACACATCATGAAATATGCAAAATTGCCATCTATTATAATAGATGTATTGGGAGTTCTGGTGGCATAGTGTCTAAGGCATTTGACTGCTAACCAGAAGGGTGGTGGTTCAAACCCTCCAGCCACTCCTCAGAAGGAAGGTTGGGCAATCTACTTCTGTAGTGAGTCTGCCTCAGAAACACAAGGAGGGGTCGCTATGAGTCGGATCCAACTCAATGGCAATGGGTAAAATAGATGTATTAGTCTTGGAGTATACAAGGTACCCCAATAATTTTAGTAGTATAAGCATGCATAGGAGCTCTGGTAGCATAGTGCCTAAGGCACTTGACTGCTAACCAGAAGGCTGGCAGTTCAAATCCACCAGCCACTCCTCAGAAGGAAGGTTGGGCAATCCTATTTCTGTAGTGATACTGCCTCACAAACCCAAGGAGGAGTCGCTATGAGTCAGGGCTGACTCGACGGCACATAACGACAACAACAACAACAACAAGCATGCATGGTAATGATAAAAGCTGGTTTTACTCTTTCATTTTGTCTTTCCTGTGTCAATTATAATCCATTGAATGGAATTCCTAAGCAAAATTTTCCAAATTGATTTCAGTGAATAATACTGATAAGGGCAACAGAACATCAGGCATTCTGATTAGTTTATTGGAATTTCTGCTCCAAATAGCCAACGAATAAAAAGGATGAAACAACAGGAAATAAACATACTACAATGAAATTTATTTAAATTTTTTTTTTTTTTTTAATCTACTGAAAGTCTAAAAGCTCAAATTGAAGCCACAAAATCTTTTCTAACTTTATTGTGGGGATGACATACCATTATTCCTGTCCTATTCTATTTGTCACATAGACCAATCATGGTACAATTTGGAAAGGGCTTCACAAGAGTGGGAGTGACAGGAGACAGGAATTATTGGGGACCATCTTGGAGATTGGCTAGAAAAGTCATTTAGAAACTTGTGTCCTTGCTTGGTCCACATATGGATGATCAGTGTGAAAAATCTGAGCCTATACTTACTCTTGCAGTTAGTCTGTTTTAATAAACAATGTATTGTTAGTTTATACATTCATCTGTTCAGACAATATTTTGAAGTTGTTGTTGTTGTTTGGTGCTTTTGAGCAGGTTCTGACTCATACTGACCCCATGGACAGTACCCCATTGACAATGAAATGTTGCCCAGTCCTGAGCCATCCTCACAATCATTGCTGTGTTTGAGCCCATTGTTGCAGCTACTGTGTCAAACCATCTCACAAAGGGTCTTCCATTTTTTGGCTGAACCTTTATTTTACCAAGCATGATGTCCTTCTCTGGGGACTGATCCCTCCTGATAACATGTCCAAAGTACATGAAATAAAGTCTCACCATCCTCACTTCTAAGGAGCATTCTGACTGTACTTCCAAGGCAGATTTGTTTATTCTTCTGGCAGTCCATGGTATATTCCATATTCTTCACCAACACCATAATGCAAATACATCAATATTTCTTCAGTCTTCTTTACTCATTGTCCAGCTTTCTTGTGCATATGAAAAACCAAACCCAGCTCACTGACATTTAGTTGAACCAGACTCATAGCGACCCCTCCTTGGGTTTCCAAGGTGGTATCTCTATGGAAGTAGATTGCCCAGTCTTCCTTCTGAGGAGTGGCTGGTGAGTATGA